ATGTGGGGCTTTGGGAGGTCTGTTGGCTTGAGAGGTTTATGCTAAGAAGACAAGGCCAGAAAAGAGCCTTCCTATGAAAGAGGGAATCTCAGGGTTAAAAAGATTCTGGCTTCAAATGTGGGGAGCTCCCACAATCCCCTCAGCCAAAGCCAGAGATGATTTTCTCTTTCTTGGTTATGCCTCTCTGCAAAGACATGGGCACTAGGATAGAAGTTGGGAGATCCCAGCCTAGTCCAGGTTAATGATTGGTTTGATAGCCTGCCAGTCAAGATCCATGTGCTGATCCCAGCTTTAGTTACCAAGCTTCTACCTACCATCTGCCTATTTTCATTTCATACAATGGTGTCATTTCTGGGCTCTGCTACCTCTGAGATTTGACTCTTTTTTTAAAAAAAGATTTATTTATTTATTTGAAAGTCAGAGTTACACAGAGATAGAAGGAGAGGCAGAGAGAGAAGAGGTCTTCCATACACTGGTTCACTTCACAGTTGGTGGCTACAATAGCAAGAGCTGCACTGCTTAGAACCCAGGAGCCAGGAGATTCCTCCAGGTCTTCCCATGAGGGCGCAGGGGCCCAAGGGCTTGTGCCATCTGCTTTCCCGGTCCACAGCAGAGAGCTGGATCAGAAGTGGAGCAGCTGGGAATTGAGCCAGTGCCCATATGGGATGCTGGCACTGCTGGGGGTGGCTTTACCCTCTACACCACAATGCCAGCCCTGAGATCTGACCTTAACCTGGTGGTTCCTGCCTGATGGGCATGGCATCCACAAATGATGTAGGTGATTGTATTGTGCACCTACAACTTTTGTCACATTGTTTTTAATCATCTATGTCCTTGTCATCCATCCACCAGGACTAAAATTGCCTTTAGGGTAATCATGATATTCACATTATTCATGTTATATCAATTATACCCCAGGAGAGTACCAGGCATAATGCAAACAAGTCACCCATGTCTCCATTCATCCTCAGCTCCTCATTCCCACAGTGCTAAGGGCTCTTGCTCTTCTCCTCCTCCTCCACCCTTCCCTCTGCACAGCTACCACCACCATGAGACCCACACACCATGCTCCTCTACTCCCTCTGACCCCATACACTCTCCAGTTCCAGTGGATCCTAACAGGATGACATATCAAGTGTGGAGGTTTATTTGTACTCATGAAGCGAAGCTACAGAGCTTCACTATCACTAAGTGAATTGTGGATGTTGGATTGTCTGATTATTGTGCTCAGTTCTATGGTCCTATGAAAACTGAGAGCATGGCAGGAATTAAAGAGATGCCTGCCTGCATATTACATTCAATTAGGAGCCACAGAGCTCTGCAGCATTGTTGTTGGAGCCCTTTCCATTTATTCACTGCTCAAACCTATTGCTTTCTTTTCTGCTTTGTGTCCATCCACTCATATCAGAGTAGCCAGGACAGAGTGAGTTTTTATGAGTCAGGATGGTGAGCCAGTGGCTAGACACCTTACTTGGACTTTATAATGTGCATTTTGACTATTCCAGAAAATTGTTTTTTTTAAAGATTTATTTATTTATTTGAAATAGTTTCACAGAGAGAGAAGGAGAGGAAGAAAGAGAGGGAAATGTCCTCCATCTGTTGGTTCATTCCCAATTGGCTGCAATGGCTGGAGCTGTGTCAATCTGAAGCCAGGAGCCAGGAGCCTCTTCCAGGTCTCCCACATGGGTGCAGGGTCCTAAGGCCTTGGGCCATCTTCTACTGCTTTCCCAGGCTATAGCAGAGAGCTGGATCAGAAGTGGAGCAGCCAGGACTTGAACTGATGCCCATATGGGATGCTGGCACTGCAGGTGGCAGCTTTACCCACTATGCCATAGTGCCGGCCCCTCTCTAGGGAAATATTTTTTTACTTCTTTCCTGCTTAATTGTGCTTTAGTTACCTAAGGTTGGTGACTATATAAATTGTGAATTAGCTAGGTATTCCAAATTTAGCTTTGAATTATATGATTTTGTGGGTTTTTTAACTTAACTTTTTTTATAAATATTGACTACTACTACTCTTTTAAAAAAATATTTATTTATTTATTTATTTGAAAATCAGAGTTACACAGAGAGAGGGGAGGCAGAGAGAGAAAGAGAGCTCTTCTATCTGATGGTTCACTCTCCAATTGGCCACAATGGCCAGAGGTGTGCAGATCAGAAGCCAGCAGCCAGAAGCTTCCTCCAGGTCTCCCATGTGGGTGCAGGGGACCAAGTATCCTCTACTGCTTTCCCAGGCCATAGCAGAGAGCTGGATTGAAAGTGGAGCAGCCGGGTTTCTAACAGGGGCCCATATGGGATGCTGCACTTCAGGCCTGGGTGTTAATTTGCTGCACCACAGCTCCAGCCCCTGAATTTTACTTTTTTATTTAGACCTTTCTTATAGACATGGATTATGTCTTCTAGTTTCTAAGTAACTACATCATAATGAGGACCATTGTAGATTGTAGCAGTTAAAAATATTTGGCTTGATGATCAACATAAGGCTTATAGATAGTAGCTACCCATGAGATTGTTTCTTGGATTTAGAGTAAGTTTATAAGTCAGTTGCAGGTAGCCTTTTGTTACTGATAAACATGAATGTACTGAGAACTCTTTGTCCATTAAATAATAAAATCCAAATGAAGATTTACACATGAGTTCCCTCCTGCCTTCATCTACCACTGAAATCCTGTTGTTTCTGCCTTTTGGATCTCCCTGTAATCTGTTGCCTCTTCTTCATTCCCACTACCACCATACCTTGGTTCAGGTCCTACTAAATTACCTTTGATATACTTTTTAATTGACCTCTCTGCTTTTTGTTTTTCTTACCTTTGTGTCAAAACCCTCTTAGTTCATCCCAACTTTTTCTGATTGCTCAGGTTCTCTTGCTCCAATATCTAGGAAAATCATGTGGCTGGTAGTTCTTTCAACACACCACACAAAAGAATGCTCAGTAAATGCTTACTAAATAGTGAATGGAATGCCTTACAAAGCTAGGGTGAACATTTAACCTGCTTGGCCCTGGATGGCTTCTGTTTATACATTTCAGCCCTGTGTCATTATTCATATGTCTCTTTTATTATCAAAGTTGTCTCTGAGCAACAAATTATACATTCATCTAATTGTGTCTGTTATCAAATAGATATCTATTTCATTGTCTCTTCAACTAGGTAGTTACTGGGGATCAAAAATAGTATTTGTTTAATTTTTATAGCCTCATTTATTCATTCAACTAAAAGAATGACTATCAAGATGTTGAGTTTTAATGTCAAAGCAAACATGTTTCTTGCCCTCCTGAATTTTCAATCTGGCAAGAGAAAGCAGTCTACACAAAGAATATTGCCTGATATAATAAGATTAGTGTGAAATGAATGGATACATTTAAGCATTCCTAATCCAGCAATTCTAATCCCATGAATTATAATTGATAGAAGTAATCACAAACAGAACTCCATGTCATCCTGCTTCCATTTACATTTCTACTTAAAATCTTAAAAATCAAACACCACACATATACCTAAGAATGCATAATATTTATGCTATCTTGATATTAAACTTGAGAAAAATAACCATACAGCAATAGCAACTTTGAACCTCCTTTCTTTTTTAGATAAGTTATAATCCTATGTGTTTCTCTACAGTGAAGATTAGGATTGTAGATACTCTTCCTCTCCCTCACTTTTTATTTTAGAGATGAGAAATCTGGGGTTTTGGAAACTGAGCCCCAAGATAAAAGAAATATTTCTTTTTTTCAAGAAGATTTTTTTTTATTTGAAAGGCTGAGTTACAGAGAGGCAGAAGCAGAGAGAGAGAGAAGTCTTCCATCCACTTGTTCACTCCCCAAATGGCTGCAATAGCCATAGTTAAGCTGATCCAAAGCCAGGAGCCAGGAAATTCTGGGTCTCTGATGTGGATGCAGGGTCCCAGGCATTCGGGCCATCTTCTACTGCTTTCCCAGGCTAGAGCAGAAAGCTGGATTGGAAGTGGAGCAGCAGAAACTTGAACCAGCCCCCATATAGAATGTCGGTGCTGAAGGCGGAGGCTTAGCCCACTATGCCACAGTGCTGGTCCCAAAAGATTTCTTAAACCAATATTTCACTTTGGTTGGCCTTTAACCTAGACTTTTTTTTTTTTTTTTTACCATACTTAAATGGGCAAATTTAATTCTAATCTCTTTCCACCTCAGCTTTGTCTTTGTAAATTGAAAATACTGTCTCCAGAATTAACCTAAGGTATAATTGATACAAAGTAAGGCATTTACTCTGTTAATCTGGCCCCTAGAAGATACTTGGCAATGTTAGTCCTGTATCCAGTTCTCTTTTTTCTTTTTTCTTTTTTTTTTTTTTTGTACTTGGTGAATTAGAGGGTAGTGTAAAATGCTTTGAAAAAAACACAAATAAAAGACACAAATAAAAATTGTATTCTCAAATCTAGATGTTAAACTATGCCGTGTACACCTGTGCTAAGAGTTACATTGAAATCCTTGTTATTCATTACTTGAGAGAAGCTGTCCAGGAATAAAGCAGCAGGGGGATTTTTCTGAGAAACAGCGTGTGTGAGGGAACCGGGATTTGGGACTCAGCAGCAGTGGCTGTAACTTCTTAAGATTTTGTTCAAGAAAGGAAGAACAGCAGCTGACCCTTGAGATCTGGGGTAGGAAGGAAGGGGAGGAGGGATGTAAACAAAAGCAAACGCTCTCTGGTTCCCAGCCTGTCTCCGCCCACCCTGCACTGAAGCCCTAGGAGAGGGCCTGTAAGTCCAGCTAGGAATGCCCTGGCCTGGACTCCATTTCCCAGAGTCACCTGGTGCTCCAACGTTTTCCGTGCGCTGAACGCCTGTGCGTGTGCATGTGGGAGAACGTGCGCATGCGCGTGCCTTTCCTTGTGGCCCGGGGTTGAGAACAGAGGAAGTTCATTTACTGATCAGAGAGGTCCCCGAGAGGCCGCGCTGCTCCTTCTCTCACGTTCACTGGGGAGTCTTGCTCTGCAAGTGCAATTGCAGGCGGTTCGGGAGCACACGCCCCAGACCTGCCGCCCGCTGCTTCTGTGCCTCTGCATCTGCCACTGTGGGCGCCAAGTTCCAGCGACTTCTCCTGTTCCACACTCTCCGCTTTGCTCCCCGTGTGTCCTGAAGAAAGGGGACATGCTCCCGAGATTTTCCACGGCAAGTATGGAGAACAGGAGGGGCATCTATGTGTGTGTGGGAGAGGGGTGGGTGTGATGGTGGGTGGTGGCTCCCAGACCTCGATCACTTGCTTCTCAGTGATCCTGGGAGCTTTTCCGGCAGAGTCAAGGCTGGGTCCCAGGTGTTGTGTCTCCCACCGCCGCTTCCCAGCCTCCCAGTGCACGGCCAGTCCCATGGGTTGCCTTGCTCAAATTCTCCTTAAAGTACACTGGACGAGGAGCGGCACAAGCAGGGCAGTTGAGAGCATGGCAAAGGAAGGAGTCCCATTCCCTACATTTAAATAAGCCCAGTTCTCACTTTGGGTGGGTCAGAGAATGCCTTGTGGCTGGGCCTCCAGCTATATCCCCTGGTAGTTCCAGCTGGGCGGGGCTCAGCATTCCTCAGCCAGAGCCCAAGGCAGTGGACAGGTGGAGATGGAAGATCAGAGTAGGCTCTGGCTCCTGGACCCTGCAGACACATTTAACAGCTGGGGCGCTATGTGTTTGGCTGACTTTCCCAGCAGCACGTGAAGCTTGTGCAGTAGCTTTGTGGATTGATCGCTCCTCCGTGTTTAATTAACAGACTCTTTTCCAATCTGGAGCTTGAGGCCATGGAAACCTACCTGATTTATTTTCCTGCATTTCGATTTCTGTCTTCAACCTTTCTTTCTTCTCATGTTATTAGGGATGTCAACTTTTATTACCTGCTGCTAATCCCTTTGCAAAGTGAGAAGTGAACTGAAATTAATGCAAGTCTACCATGTGAGTTAATAATGAGCTAATTCAATCTGGATTTTCATAAAGTGGAGAGCTATGAAAACATAAATACAGAAAAGTATCAATTTTTCTTGTCTAGTTCTTTACAGTCACTCAATGCTCCACCAAGCTGATTATCTTATAGTCCATATGGTTTTAATTAAGAGGGCCAGTTACTTTTTTTTTTTAATTTGACAAGCAGAGTTAGACAGGAATGTCTTCCTTCCATTGGTTAACCCCCCAAATGGCCACTATGGTTGGTGCGTTGTGCTGATCCAAAGCCAGGAGCCAGGTGCTTCCTCCTGGTCTCCCACGTGGGTGCAGGGGCCCAAACACTTGGGCCACAGCAGGGAGCTGGACTGGAAGAGGAGCAAATGGGACAGAATCCGGTGTGCATATGCGATGCTGGCGCTGCAGGCATTGGATTAACCAAGTGAGCCATGGCGCCGGCCGGTTACTTTTTTAAAAATAATTTTATTCATTTATTTGAAAGGCAGAGTTACAGAGAGGCAAAGACAGAGAGAAAGAGAGAGAGAGAGAGAGTGAGAGAGCGAGCTCCCATCTGCTGGTTCACTCCCCATATGGTCAGAATGACCAGAACTACATGGATCTGATGCCAGAAGCCAGGACCTTCTTCCAGGTCTCCCACACAGGTACAGGGGACCAAGCACTTGGGCCATCTTCCACTGCTTTCCCAGGCCATAGCAGAGAGCTGGATCAAAAGTGGAACAGCCAGCTCTTGAACTGGCACCCATATGGTTTTACCCGCTCAGCCACAACACCAGCTTCAAGTTACTTTTCTTATTCTGGGTTCTGTGTTTAACCCCATGACATTTTCAACATGGGAGGATATTAGTGATAGATTTTCAAAATGACTGGTCTGTGGAAACCTTTGTACAAGGTGTTAATGTGAAGACGGGTAAGGAAGAAAAGAGAAAATGTGCCCCTCTCCCCCACAGAGATGCCCACACAGTATGGTAAAGATGGCTTTGGGCTGGCACTGTGGCTCAGTAGGTTAATCCTCAGCCTGTGGTGCCAGCATCCCATATGGGCACCCGTTTGAGTCCCAGCTGCTCCTCCTCTGATCCAGCTCTCTGCTATGGCCTAGGAAGGCAGTAGAAGATGGCCCAAGTGCTTGGGCCTCTGCACCCATGTTGGAGACCCAGAAGAAGCTCCTGGCTCCTGGCTTTAGATCAGTGCAGCTCTTCTGGCAATTTTGGCCAACTGGGGAGTGAACCAGCAGAAGGAAGACCTTTCTCTCTGTCTATCCATCTCACTATCTGTAATTCTACCTCTCAAATAAATAAATAAGAGCAATGTGGACCTGAAAACTATTGCTATAGACTAACTTTCAGTGTAATGAAGTTATCCCTTGATTGACTGAGTGATTCATAGATTCTGTTAGAGTCCTGTTGTCACCAGATTACTAATCTGTGAAAGTCATTTAGCATAGTAAGGTTACCTAGGAAGTAAAAATAGAAAGGGACTCCTGGATAGATGTTGCTAGGGTGACAGCATTCTTCCTCTCAAACCCAGTGTGTTTTGACCTTTTCTCGCATGTACTCCCTATCACAGTGCTTGCGAGTGGACAAGCAGTGATGTTTCTGCTGAAAAGAGCTGCTTCACACCCAGGAAACAACTGTAAGACACTATGTTGTCTTACATAACTATGTTGTGTGTACGTTAACACGAACTTGAAAACAACCAAGAATAGGATTCCTGGACTACTCAGGCTAACTCACTGTCCTTGGCACATCATTCCCTGCTCTGCAATAAGTTTCTGGCAAGTTCTTTAAAATTTTTAGGAGAGACATATTTCATATGAGAGACATAATCTGGTAATGCAGCAGTGATGTCTTTAAGAAAAGGTGCCATGTGAGGAAGCAGTCTGATGTGTCCATTCATCTTCCCATTAATGACTCTCATTGATGTCTACCACAGGGTGGCAGAAGCAATCCTCCTTCTGAATTGCATCAAGCCAGGAGGATTCCTCTACAGTTTATCTGAGCTTTCCTTGTATGAGGGAATCACCAAAATACTACGTTGTATAGGGTTTTTTTATTCATTTTATTTACTTGAAAGGCAGATTTACAGAGATTGAGAGACAGAGAGAGGTCTTCCATCCATTGGTTCACTCCTCAAATGGCCACAATGACTTGAGCTGGGCCAGGCTAAAACCAGAAGCTAGGAGCTTCTTCTGGTTCTCACACTTGATTTCAGGGGCCCAAACACTTGGACCATCATCCTTTGCTTTCCCAGGTGAATTAGGGAGCTATATTGGAAATGAAGCAGGCCGGCGCTGTGGCTCAATAGGCTAATCCTCCACCTTGTGGTGTTGGCACAGTGGTTTCTAGTCCCAGTCAGGGCACCGGATTCTGTCTCGGTTGCCCCTCTTCCAGGCCAGCTCTCTGCTATGGCCCGGGAGTGCAGTGGAGGATGGCCCAAGTGCTTGGGCCCTGCACCTGCATGGGAGACCAGGAGAAGCACCTGGCTCCTGGCTTAGGATCAGTGTGGTGCGCTGGCTGCAGTGTGCCAGCCGTGGCGGCCATTGGAGGGTGAACCAATGGCAAAAAGGAAGACCTTTCTCTGTCTCTCTCTCACTGTCCACTCTGCCTATCAAAAAAAAAAAAAAAAAAAGGAAATGAAGCAGCCAGGTCTTGAACCAGTGCCCATGTGGGGTGCTGGCACTGCCAGGGTCTGCTTAACCTACTACTCCTGTCCCATGTGCATTTTTCAAAGAGGGGGAGGGGTTAAATTTTTTCTAATATGACTCTCAAAATAAAGATTATAATTTGTAGTAGATGATGATTTTGGTTAGATTTTGAGTTTCATTAAATTTCTATATTTTTTAAGTTAATGAGTACTAGTAATTATTTTTTTTAAGATTTATTTATTTTACTTGAAAGTCAGAGTTACAGAGAGGAGAGGCAGAGAGAGATAAGTCTTCATCTGCTGGCTCACTCCCCAGTTGGCTACAGTGGTCGGAGCTGTGCCTATCCAAAGCCAGGAGCCAGGAGCTTCTTCTGTGTAGTAGTTATCTTATGTTATCCTTGCTTTGGATAAACAAACTCTCCCATCCCTCAGTTAAAATGCTATTAAAAATAGGTTTATTTTGAGGGCTGGCACTGTGGCATGGCAGGTGAGGCTGCCACCTACAGTGCTGGCATCCCGTATGGGTGCTGGTTTGAGATCCAGCTTCCTGCTGTGGCCTGGGAAAGCAGTGGAAGATGGCCCAAGTTCTTGGGTTCTGCACTGCATGGGAGACCTGACAGAAGCTTCTGGCTCCTGGCTTCAGATAGATCCAGCTCTGGCCATTGCAGCCATTTTCAGAGTGAATCAGTGCATGGAAGACTTCTCTCTGTGCCCTGCCTCTCTGTAACTCTGCCTTTTAAATAAATAAACAAATTTTTACATGCTATACCATGGAGCTGGCCCCAAGACCTAACAGGTTTTCTGGGTGCTTATCCTGGGGTTCACTTTGAGCACTAAGCACAGTTATTCTGTGTGACTGCATATTTCATGTTCCTTCTTATGGAAAAGTTTTTCTCATGTTCTGAGTGATTGCCTACATCTGCCAGTAGTGGAAACTAAAACTTAATTTGGCTTTTGAACACCCAGAGTGCTGATTCCTGTAATCTTCTGAATTTAATCAGAAAATGTTTTGAAACATTTGGTCTATGGGTAGGCAGGACAGTTTTCCTGGATCCCTGTGAGAATTGATGAACTGATGGTGTGTTTCTACCCCACATTATATTCTGAAATTTATTTCCTTTTATTTTCTTAAAATAACTATATTTGTAATGTGCTCCCCCCTTCTGCTTCTGTCCTCCTTATAACCATGGACATGAGTAGCCCTTTTCCTTCTCTTTATGATACTAGAAGAAAAATGGGACATTGCAGCTCTCTCCCCTGGCAGCACATCTCCCTCAGTATGTCTCTTTGAATTAGACCCTGGGTTAACTTGGCTGCACAAAAGGCATATACCTAAACCCAGTGTACCTATTGAATGAAAGTCATCATAAAGTCAATATATTTTGTAAACCTCTCATCTCTTGCTTTGAAATGTGCCAAGAATGTATCTTTTATGTCAGTGTCTGTAAGCCAGAGACTTCCCACTTAAGGCAGAAGGCTGCTGAGGGACAGCACAACTGTAGCTTTGCTCTGTTACTTTACTGTGGCTACTCTCTCACACTTTCTCTTTATTTTATTAAGATTTAAAAATTTTTATTTTAAAGCAGTTACAAA